CGGGAATTCCGGTATAGGCAGGAATCGAAGGCAAGGCATTCCGGAATAGGCAGGAATCGAATGCAAGGAATTCCGGAATTGAATCATGTTAAGTTGGGTGAGCCAAGCGATTCCGGAATGTGTAACTTTCCGGAATAGGATGACTGCTCAGTCTTTTCTATCCGTTATGTGAATAGTTAGCAATATTTCTTGTTTACATCTTTTCTATGTGCTTCAAGAACATTTTTTTCTTATTTAATTTCTCATTATATTAGACATGATTAAATTCTCTTCTTTTATTTATTTGATATTAATAATTAATTTAAAAAAAAGCTATTTTACTTGTACATGTCAAAGAATTTGCTATAAATCTAATGTCAGAAGAAGTATCTCTTCGACATACGAAACGTCACGAATTCTTTTAATTAAAAGAGAAGTTTTTTTTTTTATATTCAGATTTATTGTCCCTTTATAACTAGGTTGACAGTTGAAGAAAAAGAAAGAAAAAAAAAAAAAAAAAAAAAGAAAGGAATAGAGTCCAGAAAGAAAAGTATCACCATAGTCATACTATCACACTTCGTTTGATTTAAAAAGAAAAAAAAACAGAAAACAACACATGATCTTTTGAAAAAAAAAAGATAACAGTGAGTTGAAAGAACGACTTACAGTCGTCTTTCGACTCCGAGTGGAACGAATACTCGAATACTCACAGAAAACATGTGTTTATTCTGTTTAGTGGAAAGCCTATTAGTTCTTAAACCGCAGACGTGGATATTTTTGTTGTAGCTTGATAATTTGTTCTCCACCCTCTTCCTCTAAATCTTGTATAACGGTTTGGACGGAGTTGCATATGGTTTCAGTTTCTTTTTTTAATGTTTGATTATAAAACAATATGTTTATCACATTGATTCTTTTCACGTGCTTTGTTAGTCTTATCACCGTATATTTCTTGACTTTAAAATCTCGTTATTCGTATTTTCGCGTTCGAAGTATTCCTGGTCCATCACCCACATTTTTCTTTGGTCATTTTCGTACCATTTGGTCTACAAAATTTTATTCACGTCAACTGCAAGAATGGACACGCAAATTTGGTTCGATCTATGGTCTTTTTGAAGGCACTCGCCCATTATATATTGTTTCCGATGTTGATTTTTTGCAACAAGTATTTGTTCATCAATTTTCATTGTTTAGCTCGCATCGAGTTTCATTTCTCTATCAATTATCCAAATCGGTCCACCTGATCAGTGCTGGTCCATCAAGATGGCGTCAACAGCGACATGCTATTAATCCAGCATTTTCAGCAGCAAAACTAAAGCTTATGGCACCGCTTATTGATCAATGTATTGAATCATTAATGAAGAAATTATTCAAAATGAATAATGAAAATAAAGAATTCAATATCTATGAGTTATATCAAAGATTGACTATGGATGTTATCTGTGAGTATACTTCAAATGTTGTTTTTTTTACTTTTCAATATCGTTTTACTTATATCTAGGTCATTGTGCATTCGGGATTGATACGGACATGCAGAATGATGTTGACAATGATTTAATGACCAAAGCAGCTGTTATTTTCAAACAAGATATCGAACGTATGCCATTGAGTAAATTAAGCTATTTGATGCCATGGTCAACATCTCTTCTTGCTCAATTTGCTCATAGTCAAATAGCTCTATTTCATTGTCTTCACAAAATAGCACCAACAATCTTTCCTGATTTAGTGGAAAAAATACCTCGTCTTTGGCTTATATCAAAAGTTCAAGAAGTAATCGATGTTCGAACAATAGATACTTCAACAACAAAACGAGTAGATCTGCTTCAGACAATGCTCGATGCAGCTGCCACACGGCACGAGGTTGGTGTTTAAAGCTAATGTAAGAAAAGGAAAATTTATATGCTTTATATTCATTCTAGGACAATACTGACGATAAGAAATTGAGCAACGATGAAATCAAAGGCAATGTATTTCTCTTTATGGTTGCCGGCTTTGATACAACATCGACGATGCTTGGATATTGCACTTACGTATTGGCTACACAACCCGATATTCAAAAGAAACTTCAAGCAGAAGTTGATGATCAACATGAGAAAGAGCTCGATTATGATACAGTGACAAAAATGGAATATATGGAGTTATTTCTACGAGAAGTTCATCGTATGTATCCACCTTCCGTAGCAACCATTACAAGAGTATGCGAACAAACAACAACTGTATGTGGCCACACCATTGAAAAAGGTAAATATATTATCGGATATTGTTTGTTAAAAAAACTCAAGTTGATTTTTTTACATATTTCAAGGAAGTATCATTCAACCAGATATATTTACTATTCATTACAATAGTGATTTGTGGGGTCCCGAGGATCCAAATCAGTTTATTCCTGAACGACATTCTACTGAACGACATCCACTGGCTCTCTTAGCGTTTGGCGTCGGACCACGCTCATGTATTGGAATGCGATTTGCTCTAATGGAAATTAAAATGACTTTAGCTCACATACTTCGTCACTATACAGTATTACCTGGCGAACATTTGCAAGAAGGCTTTCAGTTAAATGAAGCATTTGTCATACAGCCAAATGCTATCAATATCAAACTCAACAAACGTTAATGACGATGATCGAACACTTTTAAGACTCTTAGAACGAACTTATAATTATCACACGAGTAGCCAATAGTTTTTCTTCTTTAATTATTTATTCATTAATCCTATATTTATTCACGCTTTCTTTTATTTTTCATTGTACTCTCTTCTTCTTTTCGGTTATATAATTGTGGAGGGATTGTTCAGTTCTTTTTTGAAAAGAACTCAATTGTGTTATTATTCATTTTTTCTTCGATTCAAAGCATACAAACTTCTGCTGGTGCAGTCTCTCCTATGTTCAAGAATTTCAATTAAAAGCTCACAAAGTGTGATCATTATCTCGTTTTTAAGACTCTTATGACCAAGTGATTTATGACTGATCATTTTGTTGCTGCGACAAGATTTCATGAGTGCCGATAAAGAATACCGATGAATCACGACGTTGTTTACGATGTTGAGTCATTTTACGAATCGATCTAAAATATTTAGTGCAACAAGACGAGTTTCGAAATTCAGACATGTAAACATTGTTCGGATAGATGAACAGGACAAAGATGCATGTATATGGTATTAGACTAAAATATTTGAGTATAATAACGATACGATACGCATAGTAAGGATCTGTTTGTCCGCATTGATTATTCATCTGATCAGCAAGGTACCATGGCAATCCGAAAAATAATAAAAATATGACAGGTACAAAAAAATCGCGATGTTTCGATAATTGCTCGTGCCAGACGCGACATTTGTCAGGTCGATTTGTTATATATACTTTCCTTTTCGCTATATTGACCAGCACAATAATGCTAGCAATGAGCTGAAGCAGAGATGCCATCAGAGGATGAACCCAGCTAAAGATTCGATAGATCTGATAGCATAACTGAATGTGATAGATATAAAATAATGTACGAGGTATAACGCACGTAAATATTATACAAGCAAAAGATAATGTAGAGACTATGATTGACCGTTTTCTCGAGGCATATAAGCTTACATCGAAACATTGAATAAACATTCGTTCACATGCGATAAAACTCATAAGCCATAAACATTGGTACAATGATGCAAGTTTGATGATAGTTTGAAATTGTCGATGAAAATTCGTAATTTGAAGGCATTGTGTCAGATCGATAATAAAGAATACCAGTGCTATAGTTGAATAAAATAGAGCAGCCCAACACAATAGAATAAGATAGAAACCAAGATTTGTGATACGAATTCGTCGACAGTAAGCTGTTTGAATAGTAAGAATAATACTTAGAAATAAAACGAATATGTACACAGTTGTAAGAGGCAGATAAATCTGTCGACCATTTGATGTACAAGTAGTAAAAACGTCATATAAGCTAGGAGATATCACTTCATCACTTTCATTGCAAAATATACGATTGTAACATATTAAACATAAACATTTTGAATTATTAATCATTCTTTTTTCTTTTGAATACCTACACTTTATGCAAACGTTCGACTATATTATTTCTCGATTAATGAATGTGTAATATTCTTTTTTCGTTCTCTTCCTGTAATTACGCACAATATTTTTTGCGCATTAAAGGTAAGGACTATTTTTTTCAAATAAATAAACTACAAAATATTTCTTCCAACTTAAAATTCAGAAAGAAACATCTGCGTTCGTTACAGAACGAAAGAAAAAAATATATATATAGGTGTACATGCTTGATTACAAAATAAAATGTACAGGATGTGGATCTGAGAGTATAGTGATCAACTAATACTCTTAACACAATATGACATTTATATATTGGATTTGATTATATCTATTTTCATAAACGGTTTTATATTGAATTGAATTATTAAAGTTTTCCTTTATTATTCGTTGAAAATACCAAGTAGTTTTATTCTTTTCTTTCGATCGATATTTTCTCATTGTCATTTCATTACCATTCCATGTATTTTCAACTTGCTGTAAATCTTCATGAGATAATATTCGATTAACTAAACTAACTGAATAACCCATTGTTAATAATAATGTTTGATTAGTTATTCGATTAATTTGAATATATCGCTTTAAGAAATTTTTATCAAATTTCATATAAGCAAGTTGTAAAAGACTCATCGTCTCATTAATTTTATCAGCATATCCATCGGGAAATAATTTCCATAATGAAAACATATGATGTAAAGATACTAACCCATAAATTCCACTTTCAAAATAACCCGTCATATCTCCACTATGATCCATTTGTTGAAAATTCCTATTTTTTATTAAACTGACATTTAATATTTCAGTAATACATTTACCAATCATTGCATCACCACCATAGATATTCCTATATTTTTTACATTGTTGATTATATTTTGATAATAATGATGCTAATGATCGACTTAATAGAATACCACCACCACCATAAGCATAATAGTCGCCATGACGTTTAATTTGTGATTTTCTGTCAGAAATATTACCTAAATAAATGGATATTGATGAATTATATTGTTG